TTATTATGGATTATGACTCATATTTTAGCCGGAAGCAGTGATTTGAAATTAAAACGTCTTAATGATGGATTTATTTCTTACAAATGCAGCTTTTGTCTTCTCCAGATGTTAACTGATGGACTAGAGTGGTGTGGATTACTGTGATGTTTTTATCAGCTGTTTGGACTCTCATTCTGACGGCACCCATTCACTGCAGAGGATCCATTGCTGAGCAAGTGATGCAATGCAGCATTTCTCCAAATCTGAGGAAGAAACAAACTCATCTACATCTCGGATGGCCTGAGGCTGAGTACATTTTCAACTTAAATTTTTGGGTGAACTATTCATTTAATTTTCAATAATTCAATGCATTAGACTAGTATTTTTAGTCCAGCATTGTATCAAAAACCTTGCAGGCTGGTTGCAGGTCTCAGGCAGCTGGAATTATTTCAGGCTTTTCCAAACACGCTCTGTCACGACAGCGGCAAGACGTCCCACTTCACTGCACAAAGACTTCAGCACATCTGCGGAGGAACACACACACACACACAAACACATGCTCGCTCTCTTTCTGGCATGCTTGTCATCCGCTCTTCATTTTCCTATTCTGCTTCCTCCCTGTAGGCCTACAGTCACTGGTGTTCATTTGACTGCAGATCTTTCCCAGAATCCCTCAGCTGTTCACTGACTCACAGGGGTCCGGCACAGACACGAGTTAACGCCCACAGGTGCCCCAACACACAAGACCATGTCCGGGAAAATCAAATCAATTATATTGTGCATAAAGAAAATAATTTTGCATTGTGATATTATTCTTAGGATAATTACAAACATTTCCCTCTAAATTCTAATTCTTGTAATGCACCTGAAATTTTATTTTTGCGTTTTGTTGTAATTTTCATGATTCATAGTGATTGTCATTTGATTCTTTTTACAATGTGTAATTTTAACATCAACAACACGTTGTAAATGAAAATAAAAAATGATTGGAATTAAAAAAAGGAAAAAGTCATAAAAAAATAATTGTAGTATGTTTTACATGAAAATACTATTCTAGTCTAGACTAGTCTTTTTACCTCAAAATTTCACATTCAATTCAATGGGTGACTTGCCATTTCCATTGTTATTTTAGTATAATTGAGATACTATTATAGTTTTTATTAATATTCTGAATCCGTTTTTATTTTTATATTTTGCTTTCATTTTAATTTTAGTTGAAGTTTTAGTAATTGTGTGAATTTTAGTAATTGTTGTGTGTTTTTGACATTTTTAGTAGTTTTTGTTTGTGTGTGTGTGTGTGTGTGTTTATATAGATTTTGTCATTTTTTATTTTATTTATTTATTTTTTTGTTTTGATTATTTTATTACCTCAAGTTAAACTAAATTAAAAAAATGAATGTTCCTAGCTAAAATATATATTTTTAATATTTTATTTCAGTTAAACTTTATTTTGTTTCAGGTAACACATTTTTTTTAAAAGGGTGTTACTTTTAGTTTTAGTTATCTATAATAACCCACCCGTTTCTTTGTAATTATTTGTGAAATTTACTATTTAAAAACATTTTTTGAGTATAAAATATTTTTCAGTGAAACAATTGCAAAAAAATTAAAAAATAAAAGACTTTTCCCAAAAAGTAGATATTTTCACCTCCAAATAATACCAAAACAGGGATTATTTGCAAAATATATATTTTTTTATGCAAAATATAATCTAATATTTTTTTGTTGTATCATGTTTGTGTTTTGCGGGATTCATCCGACTCTCTGTATCAGCTCCATTCACGTCATGCCAAAGTGTTCGGGATTAGATTTTGTTGCGATATCTGATGTTTTTATGAACACACACACACACACACACATTGACATTTTTAGTAGTTTTTGTTTGTGTGTGTGTGTGTGTGTTTATATAGATTTTGTCATTTTTTATTTTATGTATTTATTTTTTTGTTTTGATTATTTTATTACCTCAAGTTAAACTAAATTAAAAAAATGAATGTTCCTAGCTAAAATATATATTTTTAATATTTTATTTCAGTTAAACTTTATTTTGTTTCAGGTAACACATTTTTTTTAAAAGGGTGTTACTTTTAGTTTTAGTTATCTATAATAACCCACCCGTTTCTTTGTAATTATTTGTGAAATTTACTATTTAAAAACATTTTTTGAGTATAAAATATTTTTCAGTGAAACAATTGCAAAAAAATTAAAAAATAAAAGACTTTTCCCAAAAAGTAGATATTTTCACCTCCAAATAATACCAAAACAGGGATTATTTGCAAAATATATATTTTTTTATGCAAAATATAATCTAATATTTTTTTGTTGTATCATGTTTGTGTTTTGCGGGATTCATCCGACTCTCTGTATCAGCTCCATTCACGTCATGCCAAAGTGTTCGGGATTAGATTTTGTTGCGATATCTGATGTTTTTATGAACACACACACACACACACACACACACTCACACTCTCTCTCTCATTTATCTGTTGTGTGTGGAAAGCCTTGATTCGATCAGTGAAAGAGCTGTAGCTGCGCTGCTTTCAGAGTGATGTCAAAGCCACTCTGTCTTCAGGGTTAGCGTTTCTTCTTTCTCTCCTCGCTCTCGCCACATCTCACTCTCTCTTATTTCTCAGAGTTTGCTCTTTTATTGCTCAGGACACTTAATGGAGCTCTCAGTTATGATTCATTTAAGTAGCAGCTTTGTCTTTTGAGTTACTGCCTGTGCAAAGCTCGTCACCTTGATGCTAGCTTTTTCTTTTTGGTTGCCAAGGTGGTTCTATACTGTTGCTAAGGTGATCTGAGTACACTAGGTGTTTGCTAGATGTTTTGCGGTTATTATGTGCGTTAAATGGTGTGGGATGAGATGCATACAGATCATTTGATGAGAAATGATTGAGTTTATATTGAGATCTCTGACTTTGATACCACAGACTTTGGTATCTTGAGCAAATCTGAGCACTGTTTAAGAATGTGTTTATTCTTAACTTAAACTATTACAAACCATTTTCGGTAATTGAAATAAAGCTAAAAAAATGTAAATACTAGATGAAAAATGTAAACTTAAACTTATCTCAAATTTGCATTAAAGTTTTACATTTTAAAACTAAAACTGAAATAAAAATAACAATAAATTAAAGCTATATAGAAATAGAAATATGAAAATGACAACAGCACAACAGAAAACTAAAATTTAAATGAAAACTGATATAACATTTAAAAAAAATGTTTTTTTAAACAAGTTATGTTGCAACTAAATTAAATAAATTGAGGTATTAAAATTACTATAACTAAAACTGAAAAAAACAGTAGCTATATATAAAAAGCTAATAAAAATGACTGAAACTTAAACTAAAATTAAAACTGAAAATATAAAAATAAAAACTAATTCAAAATATAAATAAATATTATAAACTGTGAATAAATAATATAATATTATTTATATAATGTAATATTATAGTAATATAAATAACACTAGTAGATACAGATGTCTCTACTATTGGACTATTGTTAACATGAAAATTAAAAATTAAACTATAAAAAAAAAAGAAAAAAAAAGCGAATTCAAAATATTAATAAATGCTATAATAGTATAAATAATACTAAAATAACACTGGTTTAAGACAAACCATTTTACATCCCTAATGTGATTCATTTTAAAGTTAAAACAACCAGAAATGTTCTATGTATAAAGAATTGATTGGATGGTAAAAAGGTGGTTTTGTTGGAATTAATGTGTATAAAGTAAATGGGTCAGTTTTCATTTCATTTTGACTTTAAGCAACAATGTACATTTGCTCTTCATTTAATGTCATTACTGTCTAGGAGAAACAATTAAGATATTAAAGCGATCTCGTTAGTGATTTTTCCTTCCTGCGGGTCGTTACTTGCACATACTGTATGTGCTAACACACACCCACACACACACACACTCAAACTCACACACACACACACTCAAACTCAAACACACACACACACACACACACACACACACATATCTGTAGCTCATAACCGCATTGGCACACGGCACAGCTGCTGGCTTGGGTTTCATGCTAGTGGACATAGAGAGACTTTGATCATTCTGCAAGCTCTCTGAACACACTCACACACACACAGACACATGCTAAAGGGCGTTTAGCCCTGGTTAATCTGCCTTTGATCTGCGTTTGAGAGGAAACTCCTGCCCGCTGCTCCTGCTGGTCCTGATGGCAGGCGAAGAAGGTGCTAATATCAGTGCTCTAATGGGACTGGAGTGAATGTCACTCGCTCTCTTACAGCAAATCACTGTGGCGCTGCACTCCGCATCTGCTGTAATGACACCATTATCATGCATTAGATTTAGTAAAGCAATCAACTATCTGAGGCGATGCATGGCAGTGAATTTACCATGGTAAAGGGGTGTTGTTAGCAGTGTTGTTATTGTTAACTAAAACTAAAACTATTAAAAATCAATGTAGGTAATAATATAAAATGAAATCAAATAAATATTGGATGGAAAAACTAACCCCCCAAAAAACAAACAAACAAACCCAATCAAAATATAAAACAAAAATGTAAAATCTTTTTACAAAAATGTAAAAAGATGAAAAACAAACAAAACATTTTTTTATATATTGTTGTATATTATATTGTTATTATTATAGAATGATACTGTTAATAATATGTGGCTTTGGCAAATAAAAATGAAATAAGTTTAAGTTGAGGTACAAAAATTGCTTATATATATATATTCTACAATGACTAAAATGAAATAAAAATAACTTGTACAATCTATAAAGAAGTCATTTTTGTTTATTGATATTAAGCTGAAACAAAATAAAATATAAATATCAGATGAAAAACAAAAAAAAACTTACAATATATATATACTTTTTTATTTTATTTTATTTTTTATAATATAATATATAAAATATTTTTTTAATTTGCTAACAATGAAACCCTTCTCTTCTCTTCTCTTCTCTTCTCTTCTCTTCTCTTCTCTTCTCTTCATTGTAACTCACAGAGTGTCTCTCTTCTGTTCTCAGTCTAGCGCTGCATCCGGATAAGACCCAGGTGGCCACAGGTCAGGTTGGGAAGGATCCGTATATCTGCGTGTGGGACTCGTACGCGCTGACCACCGTGTCCATCTTGAGAGACGTTCACACTCACGGTGTGGCCTGTCTGGCCTTCGACGCTGACGGCCAGGTAAGTCACATGACTCCTCAGTCAGTTTAATGACTTCCTGCACGGCTCTCTGGAATACTTCATTCCGATTGGCTGCATTCTCAAATATTTTTGTATAATGACTGTATCAAAATCGGTAAACATTTGAATATACAGTGGGTACGGAAAGTATTCAGACCCCCTTAAATTTTTCACTCTTTGATATATTGCAGCCATTTGCTAAAATCATTTAAGTTAATTTTTTTTCCTCATTAATGTACACACAGCAACCCACATTGACAGAAAAACACAGAATTGTTGACATTTTTGCAGATTTATTAAAAAAGAAAAACTGAAATATCACATGGTCCATAAAAGAAAAATCTATAATTTTGACCCATACAATGTATTTTTGGCTATTGCTACAAATATACCCCAGCAACTTAAGACTGCTTTTGTGCTCCAGGGTAGGGCTGTGCGATATTGAAGAAAAATGCGATATACGATACCTTGTTAAAAAATGCGATATTCGATATGCGATACGATACGATATTGCTTAAAGTGTGTACAATTAATTTCAATTATATTTTAAAATATTTAAAAATGAAAATGATATAACCAATTTGTTTCACATTCTTTCTTGGAAAAGAATTTGCGATATTTCGATAATTTCGATATATCGTGCAGCCCTACTCCAGGGTCACATTTTTTTAATTTTAGAGGTGTAACAATACACTCATGACACAATTTGTTTGATGCACAAAACTGATCTGACGATATGTTTCTCTCATGATACTTTAAACAAAATAGAGTTAAAATGGTAGGTATTTTTTATTATTACATGTACATCATGTGATAAATGGTTAACAAAATAAGATACACAATAGAAATATTCATGATTCTGCTTAAGCTAAAAATATAATTATTTTAGAAACATGCTTGCTCTCTGTCCCTGACAACATACATTAAAAAAAAATTTTTTTTTATTAAATAATTTATTTTTAATTTATTAATCATAATTAAGTATCATGGAAGCTCAAATGTGTGAGCTTCTGGGTTTACCATATTTGATGAGTTGATCATTGTTTTTATGTGAACAAACACCTAAACCTTTATTTTTGGTTGAACTATTCACAATACATATTGTTGCATTTTTGTATTGCGATTATATTTTGACACAATATATTGTTACACCCCTAATATTTGTTAAGTTGTTATTTTTGTATCATTGAGATACCATTATATGTTTTATTAATGTTTTAAATCAGTTTTTATTTTTATTTTAATTAAGTTTTTAGTAATTTTCTTGTGTTTTTGTCATTTTTCTTTTTTTTTTTTTATATATATATGTCTATAATTGTTATTTCAGAACTAAATTAAAATAAGAAATGTTGGCAACTAGCTGAAATAAATTTTTTTTGTATTTTATTTTATTTCAGTTAATATTTATTTCATGTAATGATATAGTTTTTTTTAATGGTTTTAATTTTAGTTAACTATAATAACCCTGAGTAGTAGTATTATTAAAACTGAATTTTCTTCATTTGTGTTTGTAAATGCTCCCGTCTAACCACTTATTTTCTCCTGTCTTGTGTTTTTGAACGTTCAGCGTTTAGCGTCTGTGGGACTTGATGCCAAAAACACGGTGTGCGTGTGGGACTGGAAAAAGGGGCGTGTCTTAGCCACCGCCACGGGACATTCTGATAGGGTAAGAACGGAACGCACTGTTCCTCATTACCGACAGTTAATCACATCAGAACCGCAGAGTCCAGCATTTCATTCATAATGCCAGAAAGATTCTGACTCCCGTGCATGAAGTGAAAAACAGAACAGGCCCGTCCGGTCCACACATGCTAGGACTGTTTCCATAGCAACAGATGCTACACCTCAGTGATGTGAATGAATAACCATTAAGAGCGTTATGAATAAGTTATTGTGTTATGCTACAGTACAGAGGAGCATTTCAATACATGAACTGACACACACACACACACTCAGTGTCGAGGGAGTCTGAAGGCACAGCAGAGATGACAGAGCGGCTTAGTGAAGAACCACAGACACCAGAAGACTCCCTACGGTGCCATTAAAACCCTGCAGCTCTTCCTGTCTCTCAGTGTGTCTCTCTGCTGTTCCAGCTCAACAACTTCACTGTCATGACTCCCGATGAAATATAAAGCAATTTAGATTTGATATCTTTTGCATTTTATATTCATGCATTAGAAGCTTTTTTCCAAAGCGACTTGCATTGCGTTCAAGGTATATACTTTATAAATTTAAAGAAACTTTATATAAAGAAATCAGACTCATTGCTAGTGGCATGATCTACTGTTAAGCAACAGGAATGCTTTATGAAATGTTTATTTGCAGATAATGCATGCAAATAATGAAGAAATCAGACTGTTTGAAAAATAAATGCATAGTTTAAAATTAAGAATTAAGGAAAGAAGAAAAATGATGTTGATTAAGATGCTTAATGCATTGTTCTTTTTGTAAATTGCTGAATTTTTAGCAAATTAGCAAGCATGACTATAATTACACAGCTCTGGATCTTGAAAAAAAATTCAGCTGATTTGCAAAGAAAAAAAAGCCTAATATTACACTTGTTTTATTTCAGCTAGTGATGTACTAATATAACCAAAACTTAAATAAAAGCCATGTAGAAATATTAAAAAGGACAAACACTACAAAGTCACTACAAACTTTAACTAAAATTCTAAATAAAGTGTAAAATGTAAAATGTAAAAATAAAAATATTTTAATTCAAAATTCTAATTCTTATTTGAAATATTAATTTAAAAAACTGTACTAGTTTCTCAATTATATTTATAACACTGCTGAGTTTGAAATCAACAATAAAAACTTTCCATCATGCATTTTTCCATCATGCAAGTTTTAATGCATAATTATATAATTTGTACACAAAATTACAAAAGCCGTAAAATATCAAAAGTTTCGGTTTTAAAATTGATCATTTAAAGGCGCAATAGGAGATCTTGGAAAATGCTAACTTTAGCCTGATAGCACTGAAAGCGAATGTCCCTGCAGTCTGCAAAGCAGGGAAAAAAGTGAAAATCAGGATTATGCATAAAATAATGTCTTCAGAATCATTCATACATGTGAAAACTAAAAGCTGTGAATTGAACGAACAGCTGTAATGTGGCTCAGATTCAGACAAGAATCGTGTCTTTGTGGTGTTTTTCTGCTGATTAAGGGATAATATGAGACTTCTTCACCTTACAAATGGTTGTTGAAAGCAAAAATGCTACGAAATGCATCATATTTTATGAGAAAGTGTGACGTGTTTGAGCAAATCAGACACTATTTTTTGGAATCAGCACCTCAAAATTAGTAAGAAACTAGTATTGGATTTTATTCAGCAAACATGATGCAGGTCTTTGCATTATAATGTCCATTATATTTAGCATTGTGTATAATTTTAGAGAGTTGTGATTAATTCAGTGTAATCGGTTTTGGTGCTAGATGTTGTGGAAGTGTTGACATGGTTAGTCCACCTGTTTGTGCTGTGTTGCAGATCTTTGATATTTCCTGGGACCCGTTTCTGCAGCACAGGCTGGTGAGCTGCGGAGTCAAGCACATTAAAGTGAGTCACACCCCTGAGACAAAGTCCATCGAACCCGCTCTCGGAAACACATAAAACATGCCGTAATTTATTGCTCCTTTCCTTTGTTGTTTTTACTGCATTTTAATGCTTTTTCATAGACTTCATTTAAAGGAACAGTTCAGCCAAAAATCTAATTCTGTCTGATTTAGTCAACCTGTATGACTTTCCATTTAGTTCAAATGTAAATGCATAGATGTCAAGCTCTAAAAATAAAGGTTATGCATGCACAATATTTTAAGTTTGCGGATACAAAAGATTTGCATGAGCAAAGGAGTTGATGTTCAGGTTTTCTCTTTCGTCTCACAGTTTTGGGCATTATGTGGCAATGCATTGACGCCAAAACGAGGGATTTTCGGAAAGACGGGGGACTTGCAAACCATTCTGTGCTTGGCGACGGCAAAAGATGAAGTGACGTATTCGGGAGCTCTTAACGGAGATATTTACGTGTGGAAGGGACTCAACCTGACACGAACGATACAGGCGGCACACGGAGTGAGTGAAGCTCATCACACTTCCTACACCATCACTCCCACCATATACACATCAGCTGTATGTGCATCTCCATTAAAGGACATCTGAAGTTGCAATGCATCCCACTTGTAATCAGATATTCAATGCATTGGCCATTTGTGTCATGCATCTATAACATTAGTGCATATAGCATGTGGTGACATATGTGACCTGTTGCACATGCGTTTGTAAAGTCTCTTTCTTCATGCAGGCAGGGATCTTCAGCATGCACTCATGTGAGGAAGGATTCGCCACCGGTGGGCGGGATGGATGTGTGAGGCTGTGGGACGTGGATTTCAAACCCATTACCAAGATTGACCTCAGAGAGGCAGAACAAGGTTATAAAGGTAGAACATTACAGCTGGCTTTAAAGGGAACAGGATTTTTCTTGCCCTTTTGAAATAGAGTTTAATGTACTATGTGACATACTCGAACATTTACAACATAACACTTTTATTTCATTAACACATGACCGTTCACATTTATACGTCAAGTAACTATTTATTATTCAGCAATTGTGAATTACATCAGTTTACACTCATTCTGTAACAGAAGCAAGGCTGTAGAGTTTAGTAGAGATGCTGTGACATGTCCCTACCAATATCCAGCCACTACTAAATTGTCCCTAGCAATAATTTTGATCAAACAATTAAATGTCTGCTGTTATGTTCCCATCAGTGCCAAAACCATTATTGACCATTTTTCAAAAGGAAATTGCATTGATCTCGATCCATTGCATCCATTTTAAACACAATACGGGATCAATAAAACAGACAGTCTTTAACCAGGAAGAGATCATTCATTTGACTCCTTATGATGGTACAGGAAACCCAGTATATAAGGGATTGTGTCACCATGGCAACACAGCCTGCGCTTATATCACACGAGTGACAGTGTTTTCAGCAGATGTAAGTCTTGTAGCAATGAAGCTGTCAGCGCTTTCACAGCAGAAAACTGTCAGATAATTGGCTCTCAACAGGGTCTCAAACTGTGCTCAGATTTGTCAGAGTCTCAATATGAACTCAAACATTTCTCATTAAATGATCTGAGCTGCTCTCCACACTCATTTTTTAGTTCTGTAGTCTTATTGGATGAAGACGCTGGGTTTGTTTTTTTTGACATTTTGCCGGTGTGTCCAATTTAGACTTCCATGTAACATGTTTTTGACTTTTTTTTCCCGCTTTAAAGGTTCATTTTTGGGGGTTTTACAGCCAGTTAATGAGCCAAATTAAATTCTGCCCTGCTGAAAACACCAACTTATGACAGTTGTTGAGTGTGAAGCTTTTTCACTCTCTTTTTTACTCTCAATTTTACACAGCTATTTTTTGTGTTCATTTTAATTGTTCAATACGATATATAACATGTTTTTGACTTTTTTTCCCGCTTTAAAGGTTCATTTTTGGGGGTTTTACAGCCAGTTAATGAGCCAAATTTAATTCTGCCCTGCTGAAAACACCAACTTATGACAGTTGTTGAGTGTGAAGCTTTTTCACTCTCTTTTTTACTCTCAATTTTACACAGCTATTTTTTGTGTTCATTTTAATTGTTCAATACGATATATATATATTTTTTAAGCTCTAAGGTCGTCTTTTAGACGTGATGCTATTTTTCTAAGTAAATTAACTTTTGGTTCAGCATTACTGGTTTAATTCCTGTATGTGGATTTTTCTTTATGTCCCATGTAATATTGATTTTTTTTTAAAATTCTGATTAGTAAAAGTATTATTTATATACTATTGTGTTTATTAGTATTTTGAATAATTTTATTTTTTATTTTAATTTTAGTTTAAGTTTTAGTTATTTTGTTATGTGCTTTTGACTCTTTAATGTATATAATATATTAGGGGTGTTCATTTTAACCGTTTAACCGCCCGTAAGAATTTTGACCGATTAATACAATCAGTTAAACGGTTTAAAAAGTAATTTAATTATTTATTTTTTCTGTAATTTATCAAAATATTTAAAAAGGTTTGCTGCATGGTTAAAATACGCTACGCGTATAAAAAAAATTGTTTTTTAGGGGGAAAAAAAGGATGCCACTTTCTGCCGTCTGGTTTCCTTTCGCACATGTTGTTGTTTGCCGCTTTTTGCGCATGTAAAATGAATCCCTGGAAAACAAATGTTAGTATTTTTTTATCGGGTCACAGACACTTATCCTTTCTAATTTAATTAAATTCTAATTTAAAATAATCTTGTCGGTTAACAATCGGTTAACGAGCGCCGGTTGTCGGTTAGGAAAAATAACCGAAATGAACATCCCTATAATATATACATTAATATAAATCACTCCTCCTACATTAATATTTTTTATATTTATCTTAATTTTATATCTATTTCAGTTTTAGAATTTGTAGTACTTTAAATTATAGTATTTCAGTTCTAATTTATAGTTATAATAATTATAGTTTGTTTTTCATCTAATATTTATATTTACGTATTTAATTTTGTATTTATCTAATTTTTTTTATTTTTTCATATATTTAATTTAATATTTATATTATTTATTTCATTTCAGCTTAATTTCAATTAACATTTTTAATAGATATGGTTTTATTTATTTATAAATAAATCAATGAAACGGAAAATATAAATTGATCATATTTATATTTTATTTATTTCCAGCTTTACTTCAATTATTTCTTTATTTAAAATTTTTATAATTTCATTTCAGGAAACGATAGCAGCACTGTTTAGTAATTTAATTGATTTGATGCAGAAAATGCATCAGTTAAAACACATTAAAAATTACAAAACAAATGATCATTCAAAATTATTCATAGAATTTTAAATAATCAATTTAAAATAAATAAATAAAACCCCACCAAAACCAGATTAAATAAAGTCAAGTTATTTTGTTTCCAACAACTTCTGATTGTTTTTACACACTGAGGGACACATTTGTTGTAATCTTCAAAACGTTCCTGTAAACTAGTTAAGATGCCTGGACACCAGCATCCCATGGACCTTAGTTAGAGTAGATGATATAAGTTCCTGAAAATAAAATATGGCACCTACCATGACCAAGGAACATGCTAGAGCCCAAATCCCAAACATAATGTTTGCTGGTGACCAGATATGTTAGTCTGGGCTGCTTGGTAGACCTGTCACAATAACAACTTTTTGTTGTGCAATATATTGCCCCAGAAATAATTGCGATAAGCGA